ACCGTCACATTATAACGTCCCCACGGCTGAAAGGGCGAGGATGTTTGGTGTGACGGGGATTCTAACCCGCGACCTGCAGATTGCGAGTCGAGCGCCCTAATCACCTGGCCATGCCGGGCCGCACACAATAAGTAGTGGAAAACGTGATGAAGCTACTCCATGCTGGAGATAGATTGTGTTTAGTAGTTCCCCACGTTTATGTGAGGATTTAATCCAAATAGTTATTCCTTTAACTTGATCAATACAATTTCGTATTGGTGGAACTAAACATGAATATATAATAGCAAGATTAAGTGAGTGACCCCACGCAATGAGTGTAGAAGGCCTTGCCTTGCATATCTCGAATGTGTTTAATTGAGTATTATTGCATCAGAATATCTTGTATTGCGTGGAATGTTCTAGACTTCTGTCTGGGTTTAAATACGCGTCGAAATATTTATATCTAGTGTGCGTGATTGTGAGTTTAGTGATAAACAGCGTATGGTGGCGATTTTAAAATGAAATTGTCAGAGACTGTATTGTAATAACAAAGCAAAGAAGAATAATTCATCTTGTCTAAAGTAATTGAACTAGCCTGTGTGGATTTTGACGAGAAAAAGACAATTATTTAAAGCTCTGTAGACAACTGTGATAACCAACAGGATAACGAAAATTTGTATATACGTTTGACTTTTTTGAATTATAGTATATAGAAAAATGGACTGTGTTGCTGTTTGTTTATTGTTGAAATTTATCGCCAAAACGTTACAGACACCTACTATAAAGCATCCGGCCTACAAAACCTGACAGTAGCAATACGACTTCGGACAACAGAAGACATTGCATGCAACTATTTCAAGCCAAGAAATGCTAATGCTTCATAAGAAAAATGTAGACTATGTAGTAAACGTTAAATACCATAAGCAGTTGCGCTATAACTATATAAGCATAATTTGTTACATTTCAAGAATAGATGGTGTTAACATAATAGAACAACAGAAATTTTCGTTGGATCTAGCATTAACTTATCATTTATTACACAGCAGTTATTATTTCTCTCTACTTAACCCAAGAAATAAGGCTCTAAATGTCTTTCATTGTTTACTTGGAACATTAGGCTATATTGTCTTTTAAGTAAATGTATTTTAAAGCATGCTAATAATACGGGGGTCTGAGGTCATGCGACTATTTCAAGCCAAAAATGTTAATGTTTTATCGGAAGAATGTAGACTATACAGAAAACGTTAAATACCGTAAGCAGTTGCGCTATAACTATATTAGCATAATTTGTTTACATCACAAAAATTGGGGGTCAACCCCCTGCGTACATGCTTGATCTATCTCTAAGTTTTCATTTGTTTTGTGTGTTTTAGAGGAAAGCTATACAATGGGCTAGGTTAGCTGCATTGTGTCTGTTGTTCTTTGCCAGATTAAACCTTTTTCAACCATCCTTTTAGTTCGTTTATGACAAACTTCAAAGCAAACTCACCTCGTTTATGCAACAAATAATCTACGTTAGTGATAGACATAAATATATATTAGTTACAATTATTGTTAATAAGTGGTGCACAGAAGTAATAGTGTTACAGCTTACGTGAGAATCAACACGAATTGAGAACTCGTGTAACTTATGACATTGGATTAATTAACTTGTTTAGTATCGTTCATATTCACTCTTTGTCTTAGGTTGTTACTCGTTGTAAAAAAAAAAAAAAAATACAGTTGCTTCTATATATAGAGTATTAGTTTCTTGACTTACCACCAGAGGAAAAATATTGATATCTTGTTGAGGGTAAATATTGCACCAGAACGTTCCATGTTTACCATCATTGATGTAAATATCAGTTTCAAGAGAAGAGACTTCATCTTCTGTTAATAAACCTGAAGGAAATAAGGTAATTAAAGCTGTCAGTTGTTATTAATATGTTAATAAATTAAAAATCTAACGCAAGAATACACGAGGCGCACGCACGTGCACGCATATATATCGTATATACGGTTTTGATGTTATATGATTTCGTTATATATATATATATTTATTGCAGAAGGTAATGCGTGAGTCACCAACAAAGCTGTACATTCTTGACAATATCCTATTTAGCTGTAGAAATTTCAATTGGGCTACAAAGTTAAAATATATCTGAAGACCTTCGACTCCACTAAGGAAACAAATGTCTCAGCTAAGACCATTCCGTGTAATCCCAAAAGTTTGCTAACGAGACAAATGTTTTATTTGTCGCTTTTAAAGATAGTAATTGGCAGAAATTTGGGACTAGCAGTTGATTTACAAGTTTCAGAATCCTGGTTAGATAGCCCATTACTTTTGTAATTAACGGGACTAACGAGACAAATGTTTTATTTGTCGCTTTTAAAGATAGTAATTGGCAGAAATTTGGGACTAGCAGTTGATTTACAAGTTTCAGAATCCTGGTTAGATAGCCCATTACTTTTGTAATTAACGGGACTCTGTTTCTATTGTCACTAAATATACATATGGCAAAACCAATATAATATCATCAATAAAAAGCAAAATGAAATACAGTAATTTATCTAATCGGACTAACAGCAGACTCAACTTCGTTCTGCATTAAGTCTTCAAATGATGTTGATAGGAAGATGTTATGTAGTAAGAAAAAAAGGGTTGTGGAAAGTTTTTATTTAGGGTTACTTATTATGTTCAGACTATACCGAGTCGTCTGTTACACATAGACTTAGCATTTACCTGGAGGGTAGGCAATCAGGGAAGAAAAAGTAAGTCCTTTGACATTAGATAACTCGAAGTAAGATATTTTTTAACAGAATAATTTCTATCCTGGAGATAAATTATCAGTAATTATTACAACAATTAGTTATATCATGACTTAACTGGATGTGGCCTGTAATTTTTGTGTCAGGCTGCAAATTGTAGGGTCAAAGGTTTGAGATGTGACGCCATTGAACGTACTCAACATTTTCAACTGTAAAAGCGTTATAAATTGTTTTAGTCAAACAAAACTTTTGTGGTGGCAGATACTGTTGACCGGCTGTCTTTCTTTTAGTTAGAAATTCAAAGTTAGGGATGACTATTCTTTATCCCTAACGCATACTGTGACATACAGTTTAAAAATTATTTCCTATTCAATTAATTAGAAAATTTCAGCAATCAGCGCCTCCCGAGAGGTTTGGAGCATATTTCATGTTAAACTGACAAACAAAAGTCATTAGGCATATTATACACATTTGAAAATGATTTGACACAGAAATCAAGTAGGATAAAATGGCCTGTAAAGGAGTTTCGAAATATTACGGTTATATTTTATTCTATTTCAGATCTTAACCGCACAAAATAAGTAGAAAGTTTTCGCTACTACAGAGAAACAAATGATAGTATATTTGATTAGTTAATAGTTAGAAAAATAATATTATTTTGAATTAGTTTAGGGATATGATTTGAAGCAGTAAATTATGATAATAAAGTTTCCCAGGGATTTTAACATGTTCTACACCTACAACTAGAGTTTTCATCTATCAACTTTACCAAATACATAAATAGACACAAAACAAGATCATACGTAGAGGCGTCAAATGATTCCGGGTGTTTGGTTTATAAGTGTAGTCAGGTTTAATAATGAAGTTTTCTATGTAGTATAAATATGTTCTA